TATATATATATATATATATATATATATATATATATATATATATATATATATATATATCCTGTTTCTAAATGGATTTGGACAATATAATACGTTTTCAAATTAAATTAGTAATAGAAATTTTTTAAGAAGTATATCCTAAAACTAATACGATTTTAATGCTAATGTCTTGAATTCCGATGTCCTTTTATTGTGAGTTATTATGCTTAATATTAAAAGGTTATTTTTGTAATCCAACATTTTATTCACGCTTTTATAATAATATAGATAGATAGATAAGCTAATAATTTTACTAACTTTTTCCTTTGCAGTATAGAAATTATACTCTTTACTTATATATGTAATGAATTTTCACATTATCCGTTTATTCAGGTTTGTAGTTCCACTTTTTATGGATGAATTTCAGAATTTATTTTTGTAGGTAACCTAATAGTACAAAAATTCTTAGTAATGTACAAAAATTAAACTCTATGGTTAATTAGCTTTATCCTAACAACTTTTGGTATCATTATCAATTCAAATCTCTTGCTGACCGAGATTGACTAAGATTGAACCTGATCCAACGTACCAGATTTCTATATATACCTTCCTTAATACACAATCTGCATTGTATCTTTTTTTTTTCTCCCTTCAACAATGGTTTCCTTCAAAACTCTTTTAATTTTCTTTTTGCTTTTAGTTATTAGCAGTTGTGATGCTTATCAAGTTTCTCATGACGGAAGAGCCATCACCATTAATGGTGAAAGAAAAGTTCTTTTATCCGGTTCCATTCATTACCCTAGAAGCACTGCTCAAGTAAACCCTAGTTTGATTTCTTACTACTATATATATATTCTTTGCTACTCTTTTACGATCAGTGTATAAAACTGAAAAAAAATTGCTTTGTTTTGGTTGACGTTTTTGTAGATGTGGCCTGATCTGATAAAGAAAGCCAAGGAAGGAGGACTTGATGCAATTGAAACCTATGTATTCTGGAATGCCCACGAGCCACTTCGTCGCGAATACAACTTTACTGGAAATTTAGATCTGATAAGGTTTTTGAAAACAATTCAAGATGAAGGACTCTATGCTGTTCTACGTATTGGACCTTATGTTTGCGCTGAATGGAACTATGGGTATGTAATAATCAAGCTAGATTAATTATTTCACAATTAACCCTAAATAGTTCATTAGTGTATTGGCCTTTAATTTTTATTCGTGTTTTCATGTTTTTATTTATCTCCTTCACTTGTGCAGAGGATTTCCAGTGTGGTTGCACAATATGCCTGGCGTTCAGTTGCGCACAGCCAACAGCGTTTTTATGGTAATACACATAATAAATTTTGCACAAGCAAATCTAGAACCTAAAATCAGTTTTATTAAATTTAATATGTATACATAACTTGAACAGAAAACAATAATGAATTCAGTTGAATTTGCACAAAAGAACTTTAAATCCGTTTTTGATATTATATAGTGTAATTTTTAAGCAACAAAGCATTATTTTTGACTGTTTTCCTAATATCTATGAATTTTTTTTTCTTTTGTGTATTAGGATGAGATGAAAAACTTTACACAATTGATAGTTAACATGGTGAAAGAAGAGAAGCTATTTGCATCTCAAGGAGGTCCTATTATTCTTGCACAAATTGAGAATGAATATGGTAATGTAGAGACATCTTATGGAGATGCTGGTAAAGCTTATATTGATTGGTGTTCAAACATGGCTCAATCTCTTAATATTGGAGTTCCATGGATTATGTGCCAACAGAGTGATGCTCCCCAACCCATGGTAAATTGTTCTTATTCTTCTTACATATATTAATATAAGATCTGTTGTGTTATCATTTTTATTAGGTTACCATAAATCATTAGAATTTATTTGTAATAACTTTATAATGGTATGATTGTGCTAAAAGTTTTACAATACCGGTGCATAAAAGTTAATATTCTTATGTATAAGTAGTATTACTTTTGAGTGTATTGATGGAATAAAACTATATTTTGTGACAGATAAATACGTGCAATGGCTGGTACTGTGATCAGTTTACTCCTAACAATCCCAATAGCCCAAAGATGTGGACTGAAAACTGGACTGGATGGTAAGTTATAAAAACAAATGTTTTTTTTTTTTTTTTTATTATCTCTAATTAAAATTATTTTTAATTTACATAACTCTTAAACTCATAAAGGTTCAAGAATTGGGGTGGCAGAGATCCTCATAGAACAGCAGAGGACCTTGCATTTGCTGTTGCAAGATTCTTTCAAACTGGTGGCACGTTCCAAAATTACTATATGGTGAGTTATAACGAGACCATACTATTAATTCTCTTTCTATATTTCCTTTAATGTTCTTTTTTCAACTTACAAAAAAAATATATATATCGTCATATATTTTTTCAGTATCATGGCGGGACAAACTTTGGCAGAACAGCTGGCGGTCCATATATTACCACTACATATGATTACGATGCGCCACTTGATGAATTTGGTAATAATTTACTTTAATTTTAACCCTGTTAATTTTAATGTTATTTATGAATTTTCAATTAACTAAATTTGATTTTTTTATTACTTAAGGAAATTTGAATCAGCCAAAATATGGGCATTTGAAAGAACTTCATGATGTATTGCATTCGTTGGAGAAAACACTAACCAGTGGCAATATTTCAAACAATGATTTGGGAAATTCCGTTTCGGTAAGTTTATAAAACATTTAGTGTATTATCAATATTATTTTTTTTGTTGTTTATTAAAAAAATATTTTATGTTTAACGTTCTTTTTTAGGTTACAATTTATGCTTTGGATAACAAATCAAGCTGCTTCTTGAGCAATGCAAATACAACCACAGATGCCACCATCACTTATGAAGGTGTTAAATACAATGTTCCAGCTTGGTCTGTTAGTATTCTTCCAGATTGCAGGACTGAGGTTTACAACACAGCAAAGGTAAGTAAAACCTTTAATTTGGTACATTCAATTTAACTTAAAACAAAATTAATTTAACTTATATTCACCGTTCGATTAAAGAAAATTATATCAATGTAATTTAACATGACATAGAAAAGTTACTTGCCTTTTTTGGTTTTTTGAGTTTAGTAATTCCACTTATTGTGGAAGTTACATAAAATTACCTCCTAAATTGTATTACGCTAGTAATATTCTCCCTCCGATCCACTTTAAGTGATTTTTTGGCTTTTTTTTTTGTGATCCATAATATTTAGTTTTTTCAAATATGAAAAATGAATCAACTTCTTTTTCCAAAGTTGCCCTTAGAGTAAAGAGCGTAACAGTATTTGTTATATTTTTAATGAACAAATTCTGGTTAATATGGTCAATTACATTGTTAATTAGTGTTAAAAGGTGGATTTTTTAATGTGTGAAAATAGCAAAAAAATCACTCAAAGTGGACCAGAGGGATTAATAGTTAAATTCATACGACTTATCTGGTAACTACTTAAATTTTTGATATATTGAATATTAATTTAATTTTATATCATAATATTATAGGTGAATACTCAAACTTCCATCATGGTGAAGAAGTCAAATGAGGGAGAAAGTGAGGCAGCTTCTCTACAATGGTCATGGAGGCCTGAGAAACTTGATGAAACTGTACTACTTGGAAAGGGTCACGTTTCTGCAAATAAATTGCTTGATCAAAAGGTAGCTGATGATGTTAGTGACTATATGTGGTACATGACAAGGTAATTAATTGCTCTTTTTAATTTTCTCTAATTGCTTTGAACTACAATTTTTTTTTTTCCAATTACAATGTTGAATTATTATTTTTCTTTTATTTGTTAAAACAGTTTTAACCTTGGCAAAGATGATCCAATCTGGAGTGATGATATGACCCTTAGAGTGAATGGCACTGGCCACATCTTACATGTCTATGTCAATGGCCAATATCTAGGTATTAATTCATAATGTATATTTTTATTTGTTTTTTAGTTGTTAATTTGAATAATTGGTTGCTAAACATTGTACTTTTTTTTTGCAGGGTCGAAATGGGCAACATATGGAATCTTCAATTATGTCTTTGAAAACAAGATTAAATTGAATCCTGGAAAGAATCAGATTGCATTGCTTAGTGCTACTATTGGCCTTCAGGTAACTTTATTTTGTACACTTTGTATATTTCCTTACACTATATCATGTGAAGACTACCTACAACAACAGATAATTGTGTATTTCTTTCTAATTTGGTAACTTAAAAATAACTCTTTAGTTTATGTTGACTACTGAATTACATAATTTTTGGAATTTAACAGAACTATGGAGCTCGTTTTGATTTGGTTCAAACTGGAGTCCCTGGTCCAGTTGAAATAGTTGGAAGAAATGGTGATGAACGTGTAGTTAAAGATTTGTCTGCACACAAATGGTCGTACAAGGTTGATCTGAATGGACTTGAAAATAAGTTGTATGTTGGAAATCCACGCTTTGTATCTCAATGGCAATCCCATGATGTTCCTATTAATAGGATGATGACATGGTACAAGGTAACATACATATATCATCTAATTTATTTGCACGTTACCAATTAATGTTTATTAAACAAATTTACTTGTAGTTATATTATAAGTGACTTAATTATTCGTATCTATTACTGCCAATCAATATATAGAATTTAAACTCATTTTGTGTTGTGACAGGCTACTTTTAAAGCTCCATTAGGTAATGATCCAGTGGTTGTGGACTTACAAGGTTTGGGCAAGGGGCTAGCCTGGGTAAATGGTCAAAGCATAGGTCGTTATTGGCCAAGTTATTTGGCAGAAGAAGATGGCTGTTCTACTGACCCTTGTGATTACCGTGGTCCATATAGTGATAAAAAATGCAATTCCAACTGTGGTCAGCCTACTCAAAGATGGTTAGTTTCACATCATAATTTTTTTTGTTTTTTTTTTTACACTATAAGTGTATTTTAACATGTTACTGATCTTAATAATTAATTGTTTTGTAGGTACCATGTTCCACGTTCGTTCATGTCCAACGATGGTGACAACGAGATAGTGTTGCTTGAAGAATTCGGAGGCAACCCATCACTTGTGAATTTCCAAACAGTTAGAGTAGGAAGTGCTTGTGGAAATGCATATGAAGATAAGTTGATGAACATATCATGCCAAGGTCGACCAATTTCTGCTATAAAATTTGCAAACTTTGGTGATACACAAGGGACTTGTGGTTCTTTTGAGAAGGGAAGCTGTGAAAGCAACATTGATCTACTTTCTATAATCCAAAGGGAGTGTGTTGGCAAGGAAAATTGTTCTGTGGCTGCATCTGAAAGTATTCTTGGATCGACTAATTGTGACAATATTGCCAAGAGGCTCGTGGTCGAGGCCATTTGCTAGTTTTTGCAAGTCTTAATCTTTTTTCTTTTTTCTTTTTTCTTTCTTCAGAATATAACAAAATTTAGTTGTTAATTCTTAGATTTTGATCGGGTGGTTTAATTTCTCCTTAGAATGTGATTTAGTGATAAATCTGATGTATTCTATGAGTAGAGAATTAATAGATTTTACCGAGATTTTCAACTTGTTCGAATTTTATTCAAGATGTGGCAATAGTTTACAAGCTTCAGTTTAATTTGACTTGTCTCTGTTTGGATCAACAATCTCAAACTCTTCACGATGAAAATTCCATGGTTAAATTAATAATCTTCACATCTGCTCAATACTCTATAGTATTCAGTTTTAATATTTTTTCTCTCTTCTAGAGCGTTCAAACCAGTGCTATAGCGTTTGATGTGTTCAATGTTCATTATCGCATAACACGACTTTAGTAAACTGATCATAACATTGTATAGTCTAATAAGGATCCATTTCGCTAACGTCAATTTTAGTTCAAAAGTCATTATCAAAATTTTCCTATATTAAGAGTTATACTGTTTTGAAATTATGTCTTATCTCATTCATACATGTTTCTTTCCTTTTACTTTATTTCATCTTGTCTTGCGTCCAATCGCTCATTGAACTCTTAAAACAATATTTCCAATTCCAAAACGACACCTATGACATATAATTTAATTATGAGCACCTACCTTTCAAATCATCTATTGCTTCAGGGAAGGAAATATATTAGCAGATGCATTAGCCATGAAGGAGCAGATAACAACTGTACTAATGGTTTTATAATGATCAAGATGTTGCAAGATTGCTTGTTTTAGCCAATTTAGTGATAAAACTTAGGACCGCTTGGAGGGTAGAACACTTGTCGAGTGTTGGTCGCGGTCTACCAATTTTTTGTCGTGACAAATACTTATCGCATCCTATACATAAGTAAAACACTTGTCGAGTGTACCTCGCGGTCCTCCATTCGATCGTGACAAATACTTATACCTTATGTCAGGATCGAAAAAAGGAGGTATTTAATAAAACAAACCTTGAACAATGATAAATCGGATAATAAAAGAGAAGTATACCAAAAGAGACAAAATATTTAACGTGGTTCGGTCAATTGACTTAGGTCCACAGGACGAGATGAACAATTTACTATATAAAAGAGAGCACAAAATACAGAAAGAACAATCTCGCGAAGAGGCAAACACAAATTTCTCACTAACACTTGTCCCAAAAAGTTCTCCCCCTCAACAAGATTCTCAAACCCCGTAGGCACTATATTGTGGATGCTACTGAATGAGAAGAAAGGATCCTCAGTTTATAAAAGTCCAAAACATTTTCCTACAAGAAAAGGAACTAGCCAAATATGAGTGATTTATAATTTTTTTTTACAAGAAGGAAAATACAATTATGGTAAACATGCTGTCCTTTCTTTCGAGAGATAAAAAAATTTAATATGATAAAAAAAACCAAGACAAACACTAACACCTTATACATAAGCAGAAGTATTAATATTTATCCCTGGCAAGAATTGTTTTTCAGAAAACAAAAAGGTTAGTTGGCATGCACGTGGTATGGAAAGACTAGAACTCAATAATAAGACAAGAAACTAAATAAGACTGGCACTTATATGAAGTTTATTCATTTCACAACTTCATTTTATGCACAACCACTACAAGTGACCATATACGGCCCCATAAAATTTACATGAGAAACATATTAAAGTATAACTAATTACTCAACCCACGAGTGATGATTTGCACTTTCAGAATACATAAAGCGTAGAAGGTAAACGAGGGCTGATTAGAACTTCCACTTGATTTACCTTAGGCAAAGTAACGCCTACGCCTTCTGTCATGTCTATTGGCGTGTTTGATGGCGTACTAAAATCAAAACCTTGAAGCAAGCGACCAAAAGTAAGATGTGTCACTAAAGCCGCAAAACTTATCCCTGGACACGACCGTCTCCCAGAACCAAACGGAATAAATTCAAAATTCTGACCGCGAGCATCTATATTTGCTTTGCTCATCAAGAATCTCTCAGGCATAAACTTTTCGGGCTCTGACCAAATTTCAGGATCACGGTGTACTTTCCATGCATTGATATGTAGACGAGTACCTTTTGGAATGTGGTAACCAGCCACTTTACAATCTTGCACTGCTTCGTGTGGTAAAAGAAATGGAACGGGCGGATACAAGCGCAATGTTTCTTTAACGATAGCTTGAAGGTACACTAAATTTTTTATGTCAGTATCTTCAACCCACCTCTCTTTACCCACTTTCATGTCTATCTCTTCTTGGGCTTGTTTCATAACATGTGGATTGTTCAGTAATAAGGACATTACCCATATCAAATGAACAGCGGTTGTGTCATTGCCATCTAAGATCAAACTCTGCATACATTATTTAATTTTGTTACAGATTGAAAACAAATGTAATTACACCGAATCCCAAAATGGGGTGGAAAATATGGTATTGCGTCATCAGTTTATGCATTTAGGATACGCAAAAATTGTAACCACAATAAAAGTCGTAGTTATTTCGACAGGTAGTCTTTGGCAATATTCCTAAATGTGTATCAAATGGGTACTCCTTTTATAGTTTATACAACCAAATTTCTCTTATAGTCTATTCTAAAAGAACGAACTCTTTATAAATTTGAAAGCAAATTAACTTAAACTATTATTTTTACCCTTAATAACAATCTTTTATAACCACACATTTTATAAGATGCAGAACAAAGCCAAATTTCCATATACTGTCCACCTAGGGGCACTTTCATCACTCGTTAATAGTTTTCCATTTTTTTTGCCTCTGCCGTTACAAAAGTATCACATATTTGTCCTTATATTTTCAAATCCAGCTAACGAAATCTAAAACAGAAGGAAAAATCCAAAAATTGTTATGGAAAAGGGAAAAAGTGTTCTCCTCGTATAGTTGAGGGGCAAGTTTTGCCCTTTGAAGTTTTCTTCATGATAATTCTAATTCATATTTTCGCCCATTCTTCACCTAGTACACAAAGCACTCATTCATTAAAATGTTGTTATGGATACACGAGCACCTAGCACTTATTCACTCAGAAAACATCACTTATTCATCTCACAAAAATCAGTCTGTCGCCATCTACCTTTTTCTACCCTATAAGGCCACTCATTATAACCACTAGTTTCCATTATAGCCTCGTGCACTAAACTCCCGTTCTGTGCAAGATTTAGGGAAGAACCGTATCACAAAAATTTATCGTATGCAGTCTTACCCTACATTTCAACCGTACCAATCTCCATCATAGCACCATCGTGAAATCAGCTTCCTTCACAATTACTCCACCACAACTCTCTTCTTCTACCTCTTTTCAGTCATACGCCCACATAAACCACTAGAATTGATAGCACTCACTCTCACAGGGATTAGAACACACCAACGACCGATTGCTCTCCTCCATTAGTACACACAACACATATATGGAGCACACAAATTCATTTTTACTATCTATGTATCTCTCTATTAAAAGCCCCACTGATTCCATTAACATAACCATCATGTGAACCGTTTAACCCTTACACCATCATGTTATCTGAATTTGAAAATAATGGCAGATCTGCGGGACGTTTGGAGGGGAAAAACATGTCCAACTATTAACGGAGAGTGAAAGTGACTCTAGGTGGATACTAAAGAGTCAATTTTTGGACCTTTTCCATACAAGATATTTAAAACTACAAGTTTCAAAGTTATAGCAAAACAAATGCTATGACATGTTTAAATTTACTAGTTTTAAAATTCTTCCTTCTTTTCTTAAACCTCGTGCAAGTGTAATAAGTTCATATAAATTGAAATAGAGAATGTACAAAACTAAACAGCAATGACGACATAAACTTACCAAGACTGTTGACTTGATCACGGTGGCCTGAGAAAAACCATAGGCTTTGAATTCATTAAGTTGTGTCACCTTAAGCATGGCATCCATGGCATCTTGATCCTCATTGTTTACGTCCTTCTTCATCATATGGTCATCCAACCATCCTTGAAGAATAGAATCTAAGTCTTTGTAGATTTTCTTCATCAATTTTATATGACCTTGGAAATCAAAGTATTTAAACAATGGGAATGGAATTGCATCATATAAAACAATTTGCCCTACAACATACATGATGCCCTTAAATGCTTTCCTGAAACGTTGTGCCTCTTCATCCTCCTCTATGTTGCAATATCTCTTGCCACAAATAGTCTTCACGACTATGTTTAAAGTCAATTGCTCAAACCATTTACTTATATTCACCTTTTGTATGTTGCTTTTCACTAGCGTCAACGAATATAATTCTTTGATGCTAGTTTCCAATTCAGAAACACGTATGTGTTTCATTTTCTCGAGTTTAGTACTCGAGAGTACTTGTTGTAGGGCTAATTTGCGCACTTGATTATAATAAGGACCAAAATTAGCATAAGTAAACCTCGCATACTTGTACCCGATGCTTTCACCAGCCATAGAAGTTGGTCGGGCGGCGAAATCCTTATCATGCGTTGTGAGACAATCCTTAGCTGCTTCCCAATTGTTGACAATCAAATAGGGATACATCCCTATTTTCAGTGTGAAGACAGGCCCATATTTATCGGCCAAAGCGCCCAATACTCGGGGAAATGGGATATTCTTATCAGTAGTACCACTCAGTTGACGAAGATGGCCTATAATAGGCCATGCCCCAGGGATTTCAGGGGCTAATTTTCTTGATGTAAGTGTTCTTCTCCATAAGATAATAGACAAGAATACAAAGGCTAAAAGCCCTATAAGAGCTTGAAAATGGGAAGAAAAATGATAATCCATTATTTCTAAGGAAAAGGAGGCTAGAACTGACTAGGAAAACTATATTGCAAAATGTTAGAGACTTTCTCTGTTAGTGCAGAACAAGGTCCAAGTTACTTATGGGAGATGATTTGATTTTTACTTTATGAAGTATCCACTTGTTTAGTGTAGAATCATGTACTCCCTCCGTTTTAATTTAGATGAACTTTTTGAAATTTGTAATGTTAAAAGTTTAAGGGGTAAAAGCTATATAGGGTCATGACATTTATGTGGTTATAAAATCTTTTTATTAAAGGTAAAATGAAGAATTTAAAATTAAATTATTTCCAAATATAAAAATATATCATTCTTTTTAGAACGAATTAATTAAAAAAATTTGTTATTTAAATTG